TATGTATGTGGAGAAATATGGCTACATGTCCTGGAGGAGCTCATTTTCTAATCACGAGAATAGGATACCCCTTCACTACTAAAAACCAAAGAACCAGTCAGAACAGTGGGATGATATGTCCTCTCCTTATCAAGAAAATAGGATACCCCTTCACTACTAAAAACCAAAGAACCAGTGGGATGATATGTCCTCAAACATGAAAAGCAATTGCACAACAGCGGTAGCACCATAACTACCTTCAACCAGAGAGTTCTCCACACTCTGTGTAACTAGCAGAAGAAACTGAGACAGAAGCTGAAAATAACAATAACTATTGTTGAAATTCATTTAAAAAATTAAAAAGCTACACGGAGTGCATCATGAAATAGTCCAGGAGTTCATAAGATAATTTAAAACCATTTGTGGCACAGTCCTTTTCCCATCAAAAGTCCATTAGAAAAGATACAGGAAAGTCATATAAAAAGTTAACCAAAAAAGTGCCATACTGTTTGACAAAGAGATGGTACAAGAGCTTCAAGTCTGGAAAATAAACACACGGTGGGCTAGAGAACCTTGGGAATGTTAAATAAAACAGGTGTGATCTGACCAGGAGTGGTGGCTCACACCTGAATTCCTAGCACTCCTTGGAGGCCGGAGGCAGGGAGATCACTCGCTCGTGCTCAGGAGTTGGAGACTAGCCTGAGCAAGAGCCTGATCCCTAAAAACTAAAAAAGTTAGTGGAGCCTGGAGGCGGGTGCCCATGTTCCCAGTTATTCTATGGCAAGGCAGAAGGACTGCTTGAACCCAGGAGCTTGAGGTGGTTGTGAGCTTGCGCTGAGGCCACAGCACTCTAGTTGGGCGACAGAGTGAACAGTCTCAAAAAAAAAAAAAAAAGGAATGGGTGTGACTTGACAAAGTCCTTTCTACTTTACACAGGTAGAAATCACACGGAAGAACAAAAGGGAAAGGGCGTGTGGAAGACAGGGCACCGCTTATGATACCTGAGAGCACAAAGTGCTCCCAGAAAACCGTGGACGTTTTAAACAAGAATTTGCATTTTCACTTGGAGGACGTTAAACAAGTTAAAGAATCTGCACCTTCACTTGGGCTCTAATGGAGTAAGGACAGTACAATCCGAGGGACAAGGATTGAGATTAAAATGTCATTCAATGACTACAGATATCCTCCCTTCTCCTTTCTGCATCTTATTCTGTTATCTACATGAAAAGATACAGCAGATAAGCAAATACCAAGTTGGCTATAAAACATCACAAGCACCATCATCCTATGGTTTTTTCAAACTGACGCAGTCCCAGGGCCCTGGGAGAGAAAATCAAGCTTCCACAATGAGGCCAGAGCTCATCTTTCACCAGGGAAACCTCACTGACACGTAGCCAGGCTGCGCAAGACCAACTGTGCAGATCAAGTGGAGCTGGGGAAAAGGAAAAGTTCATCACCCGGGAAAGGACTGGGGTAGGGGTCTGTGCTCCCGCGTTGCCCCGGTCCAGTGATCCCGCGGGGATGAAGAGGAAACGAACCAGAGCGGTGGAGGACGCGCGAGGCCAGGTCCATCCCCCTAGGTGAAGATCTAAGATACGTTAAGTACTCAGCGACCCACCTCCTGAGAACCCCGCTACTCCGGGCTTCCCAGGCCGGACCTTCTCCTCCTCCCAACCCGAGCCCTCGGCTGCCGCCCCTTCGAGCGCGCCAGGGCGTCCTTCTCGGATCCCTCACCCATGATGAACCGCCTGTCCGCCCTTGCGAATCCTCAAAGACAGGCCTCGGCCTCAGCAGCAATTCCCGTCCGAGCCGCGGCGCCGCCACCTCCGCTCGCCGTGGCCCCCGGCTGCGCCTGCTACGCGGTTTCCTCACCACCAGGTCAGCCAGCAACTTCCACGTCGGACTCCGGCGGGGGCGGACCCGAGGGGCCGCCGCGACTGCGCGCCGCAACAGCGGCCTGAGCGTCCGCGTCGCCGCTTTCGACGCACAGTCTCCGCGCGCGGTTTAGACCCTGGGGACGCCAGCAGGGGAAAGAAAAAAAAAATTAAGAACTTGAAATCTCTCCTGCTTCTGTTTTCCTGTACAGAACGGGCTTCTGAAATAGATAAATGTGAATGTTCATTTTAAATTCTGACACCAAAAAGTGGTGAATCTGCCAACCAGGAATGCGAGTCGAACGTTGAGGACGCGGCCCAGGAGGACGCCGGCGCAGGCTGCCGTACTGCGGCGGGGGAGGTATGGAAGTCCCCGAGCGCCTGCTGGGGTGTCACGCTTCTCCTCCGGAGCAAAGAAAGGACGACTACGTAATAATAATGGGGTGGTCCCCGCGCCGGGCGTGCGGGGCAGCCTTACGCCCGAGGCCACTGACTGGGGTTTCTGCTGCCGCGGTGGTCCGCAGGGCCAGCGTTAGAGCGCGCACACACACACTTCCAGCTTTCTGAGCACTTGACCACCTTTCCAGGATTGTCAAGCGTGGACGGGCTCATACCGAGCATGGCCACCAGAGACTTGTTTCTAACAGGAGCATCGGTTGGACGTAATGTAGGTTTTGACAGTGAAATGTGTTGGGAAGAGGAAGGAAGCACACCTGCAGGATGATGTGCCCTGGACTCTCTAACTTTTTAAAGGTGGAAGGTGTGTATCTTAAAACTTTCTAAAGGTACACAGAAAAGTAAACGCTCCATCCCTAGCTCCCACTGCGCAGGTGCTCCTCTCATGTAACCACTGTTAGCGCTTTCTTAGGTTTCCTTCCAAATATCTTTGCATATTATGTTTTTCTTTATGGTAGAGATTTTTATCCATTGAACGAAAGTTTATGAACTGCCTTTTTTGTTTTTCATTGTGTTTAAGAATTTTTCCAACTTTATTGAGGTATAATTGACGAATAAAAATTGCATATTTTACGTTGTAAAATTTGATGTTTTATTATATATGTATTCGTTGTGAAATAATTGCCATAAACTAACACATCCATCACATAGTAAAATACGTTTACTAATGGTTACATTAACTAGTGGTTAATAACAGTTAAAATTGAGGAACCAGAAGCAAGATGGGGAGTTGGACCAGGTGCCCTTTGGGGAAATGAGCATGGTCCGCGACTGGTTGGGCTTCGGGGGGCCTGTGCTGACCCCTCCCCAAGAGCACCCTAAACGACTGACCGTTGCGGGGCCTGGAATGCCCACAGTCAGAAGTGAGCAGTTTGCTCGACTCTGGGGCTTTTTCCAGAACCTCTCTGGACAGCCCGAGGTCATCTTCCATCACTGCTTTGTCCACAATCTGTGTCCGCTGTTCTTCCTGACTCCCAGCATGCTCAACCTCACCCCTGCTGAGCTGCCTGCCAAGCAAGGAGAACAGCGTCTTGAGATCTGTGATGTGGCCCTTTGCCGGCAGGTGCAGCTGCTGGGGAAGCAGCTGGTGGTGAGAGCGGGGCGACTGGCGGAGCAGCGGGCACAGCCGGCTCTCTCAGGGCTAATGCCAGAGGGACAGCACCCCTCTCTCCATAACCTACAGGCTGGGAGGCAGGGACCAAGGAGAAACTGAATGAGTTAGGGCTGCTGTCCCTGCTTTCAAAATGAGAACCGCTTGGGCCAGGCATAGGACAAGTTCAAGGCCTCCGGGTCATTCTTGGGCAAACAGATGACAAGACACCTCCTGGACTAGAGCCAAAAAGTCCTCTTGGGCTCCCTGGTGGCTGGGAAACATGCTCTCTGATCTGTTGACTGTCTACCAACCTGCGGTGGCATTTTTGACCCTACTCCAGTTCACCCTCCTGATCCCTGCTTTTTTCACCAACCTTTGAGCATTGCTCCTTTGTGGTATCCCACTCCACAGAGAATTAGAAGGAGGGCGCTGTCCCTTTGAGCATTGCCCCTTTGTGGTATCCCACTCCACAGAGAATCAGAAGGAGGGCTCTGTCCCTTTGAGCATTGCCCCTTTGTGGGATCCCACTCCACAGAGAATCAGACGGAGGGCTCTGTCCCTTTGAGCATTGCCCCTTTGTGGGATCTCACTCCCCAGAGAATCAGAAGGGGGGCTTTGTCCTGCTTGCAGACTGTTCTACCTCATCATTTCCTTGGGAAACTATTCAGTGGAGAGTGACCCAAAAAGTGACATCTAAGGTCATATGTGCTGTTGCAGAGGAAATACTTTGCGGAGATCCTTACTCATCCTTACAGAACAGCGTCCTGCTGCTGACCCCTTCTCTCATAGCATCAGGACAAAGCATAGGACATGACATTAAGATGGAACTAGTGTGGAGCCTGTGGTTCAAAGGAGTAAGGCACCACTCAGCCCAGGCCAAAAACGGCAAAAAAAAAAAAAAAAAAAAAGAAAGAAACTAATTATGGGAAGCTAAGGCTGGACCTCACAGAGAATTCAGGGCTGTGGAATGGGAAAGACAGAAGACCTGGATTTTCTTTTTTTCATTTTGAGACAGTCTTCCTTTTGTTGCCCTCAGTAGAGTGCTCTGACACATAGCTCACAGCAACCTCAAACTCTTGGGCTTAAGTGATTCTCTTGCCCTTAAGTGATTCTCTTGCCTCAGCTTCCCAAGTAGCTGGAACTACAGGCTCCTGCCATAATGCCCACGCTTTTTGTTTTTTGTTTTTTGATTTTTTTTAGAGACAGGGTCTTGCTCTTGCTCAGACTGGTCTCAATCTTGTGAGCTCAGGCAATCCACCCTCCTTGGCCTCCCAAGTGCTAGGATTACAGGTGTGAGCCACTGCACTTGGCCTGAGAAGACCTGGATTTTCATCCCAGCTTTGATGAACTTGTGAACTTTATGATGGACAGTTGGTTAGCCTCAGGATTCCTTCTCCCAAATAGGGTATGCCTACTCCTGGGGTAGGAGTGAGGATTAACCAAGATAACACTGGCGAGTGCCTTGCACAGGCCTGGCTCACGGCTGCTCGTTACTTACTCTTCTTGCATTCTTGCCTCTGGTTTGGGGAGTCACTGCACAGCACTACAAGGGGAGCCCCTCTGCACTTTGAAGACTGCAAGAGGGAATTTGGGCTTCCACCTGTGGCCATGGTGAGGAAAAAAATCTTGCCCTGCCAGAGATGGACCATGGACCAGTAACTATGAAAACACAGCTTGCAATTTTTTCAGTTTAAGCATTAAAAGCTGGTAAACACTTTTTAAAAAGAAGAAGACCATTTAGGGTGCTGCCTGTGGCTCAAGGAGTAGGATGCTGGCCCCATATACTGGAGGTGGTGGGTTCAAACCCGGCCACGGCCAAAAACTGCAAAAAAAAAAAATAATAATAATTAAAATCTCTCTTAGCAGTTTTCAAGTAGATACAATATATTAACTGCAATCACCATGTTGTACAGACCTTATTCAACCTGACAAACTGGAATTTTGTACCCTTTACCCAACATTTCCCCATCTCTCATGCACACCCCCAGTCCCTGGCAATCACCATTCTATTCTCTACTTCTGTGACTTCCATTGTTTTAGATTCTACATGTAAGTGAGGTCCTGGCATGGTAGTTTGTGCCTGGAATCCTGGTGCTTTGGTAGGAGAGGCCTGGGGATCACATGGAGTTTGAGGCTGCATTGAGCTTTAATTGGGCTTCTACATTCCAGCCTGGGTGAGATCCCCATCATTAAAAATATAAAATATATGGGTGACACCTGAGGCTCAGTGGGTAGCCCCTGCCAAACTGCAACAAAAAAATACCTGGGCATTGTGGTGGGCACCTATGGTCCCAGCTACTCAGGAGGCTGAGGCAAGAGAATCCCCTAAGCCCAGGAGCTGGAGGTTGCTGTGAACAGAGTGATGCCACGGCACTCTACCCAGGGCAATAAAGTGAGACTCTGTTTCTACAAATATATATGTGTGTGTGTGTGTGTGTGTGTGTGTGTGTGTATTACATCATGTAAGTGTAGGAAAAGGTCAGAAAATAAATTTAATATAAAAAAAATAACTGAGATCATGAGTTGTATGTGTGTTTCTGTACCTGGCTTTTTTTTCTTAGCATAAGTTTATCCATGTTGTCCTAGATGACAGGATTTTTCTGTTTTTATTTATTTTCTTTTTACAGCCCAGGGATCCCCCAGAAGATTCTTCTTTTTTAAAGGTGAAATCACATTCCTTTTATTGCACCACCTTGCCTAGCTAATTTTTAATTTTTTTGTAGAATCAGGGTCTCTTTGTTGCCAGGCTGGTCTAAAATTCATGGCCTTATGCAGTCCTCCCACTTTGTTCTCCCCAAGTGCTGGGATTATGGGCAAGAGCCACTATGCCTGGCCTTTAGAACTTACTATTTTTCAAAACTTTGCTTTGTCAGTAAAGATTTGGTCTATTCCCTGGGTGCATTAAAAACAAAATGAACTAATTGGAAGGCTTAGGCAGGAGGATTGCTTGAACCCAGGAATTTGAGGTTGCTATGAGTTAGGCTAAGGCCGCAGGTCTCTAACCTGGGGCAACAGAGTACACTAACCTGGGGCAACAGCGTACACACTGTCTCAATAAATAAATAAATAATAAAAAATCTTTTTTTGCAGAATTTTGATAGAAAGATCCCAAAATATTGAGATAGAATGTAGCCCTTCAAACTTCTTCTAAACTAAATTTAATACAAAATAATTTTTTTGTGACTACTTACTGATTTCAAGATATTATGGTAAGACTATGAAGTAGATGAAATAATCCCTACTCTCATAAAATTTCTAACTTTTTTTTTATTTTTAGAAATTATTAAATCGTAACTGTGTACATTAATGCATTTTTTTATTTCTATAGCATAACTGTGTACATTAATGAAATCAAATTTCTAATTTTTTGAGGCATTCATAAACTCAAAGGTATTAAAATGGCTTCAAATAGTGTTGAGCCAAATGGAGTGACACGGGCCTATTGTCACACTACTCTGGAGTCTGAGGAGGAGGCTCG